TTTTTTGGGGGGGGGTCCGGTTGTGGGGCCTGAACTCTGGGCCTGGGCGCTGTCCCTCAGCTCTTCAGCTCAAGGCAAGCACTCTACTGCTTGAGCCATAGCACCACTTCCGGTTTTTGAGTGGTTTATTGGAGATAAGAGTCTCACAGACTTTCCTGTCATGGCTGGCTTTGAACTGCAATCCTCAGATCTCAGCCTCCTAAGTAGCTAGGATTACAGGCATGAGCCACCAGCGCCTGACTCTGTGAGACTCTTATTTCCAATAAACCACTAGAAACCGGAAGTGGTGCTGTGGCTCAAATGATAGAGCGCTTGCCTTGAGCTGAAGAGTGCAGGGATAGTGCCTAGGCCCAGAGTTCAAGCCCCATGACCGACAAAAAAAAGTGTGGCTTAAGAGGTAGAATGCCAGGGACTGGGAAGGTGGCTTAGTGGTAGAGTGCCTGGCTAGCATGCATGAAGCCCTGGGTTCGATTCCTCAGTACCACATATACAGAAAAAGCCAGAAGTGGCACTGTGGCTCAAGTGGTAGAGTGCTAGCCTTGCACAAAAGAAGCTCAGGGATAGTACCCAGACCCTGAGTTCAAGCTCCAGGACTAGCAAAAAAAAAAAAAGTAGAACAGCAGATGTGACCAGGAAAAGCTAAGCCAGAGCATGAAGCTCTGAAGTCAAGCTCTGATACCAGGATCAAAAGCAACAGCAACAACAAAAAGTCACTTGGTGGCAGTGACATCAAGATGGCTTCCTCCTGTTATCACCGAGAGTCCCTGGTGTTCCTATTTCTTGTTCCTCGCCCCTGTTCTTCCTACACTTAGAAACGTCAGTATATTTGTCTCCTACTTCCAATGCCCTATCTCTCCGGATCTTAGCCGAAACCTGGCCTTTATCCAAACCGGCAGGTTCTGCCACTGGGCTTATTTAAGCTCCCAAGCCACCCACACCCCTTCCCCCCTACCCCCAAAGCCCAGAAGCAGAACCAGAACCTGCCAGCTCCTTTGATTCAGCCTGGCATGCCCGTCTTCTTCTTCCTGCCACCAGTCAGTTGCACCATGGCTCACCTCTGCTCTACTTCTTCCTTCTATCCCCGCCCTGCACCTTGGACCTGGATTTTCCAGATTGACTCACCCCTGCTGCTGCTGGAAGGTCACTCTCAATATCTTTGCCCTTTTACCTCTCATTGCCCCATCCTTCTGTCCATCCCCCTCATCCCCAGACTTACAGACTTGGCACTTCAGAGTTTGCTTCCTCCTTCTCTCTCCCACAATGGGCCTTAGGTACCATTCCAGCCCTGGCCTCCTATCCTTCCTGCCCCAATTGCCATTCGTTTACTTTTGTCCTACACCTGACTTTTTTTTTTTTGGTTTTTTTTTGTTGTTGCTGTTTATTTTTGGCCAGTCTTGAGGCTTGAGCTCAGGGCCTTGGAACTGTCCCTGAGCTTCTTTTTGCTCAAGGCTAGCACTCTACTACTTGAGCCACAGTGCCACTTCTGGCTTTTTCTGTGCATGTCGTACTGAGGAATCGAGCCCAGGGCATCATGCATGCATGTACACTACCACTAAACCATATTCCCAGGCCCTCCTCTCCTTTTTTTTTTTTTTTTTTTTGGTATGTGTATGTCTGTGCTAGTCCCGGGGCCTGAACTCGGGGCCTGGGAACTATTGCTGAGCTTTTTCAAGGCTAGGACTGTACCACTTTGAGCCACAGTACCACTCTGGTTTTCTGGTGGTTAATTGGAGATAAGAATCTCACGAGGACTTTTCTTTCTGGGCTGTCTTTGAACTGGGATCCTCAGATCTCAGCCTCCTGAATATCTAGAATTACAGACCTGAGCCACTGATGCCAGGTTTTTTTCATGGTTCTTTTCATTCAGTCTCCACCAGCCTTTTGCAAATGGACTAATGGCATTGCCCACCTTGTCCCTTATGACTATTGTATCTCTAAAGCTACTTCCTACAGCCAGATGTGGTATTGCACACCTGTAATCCCAGCACTGGAGAGGGTGAGGCAAGAGGATCATGAGTTTGAGGTCAACATGGGCTGCATAGAAACTCTAACCCAGTGAACCAAAAAACGAGGATCCAGCTAGTGTGGCACCAGTGGCTCACGCCGCTAATCCTACCTAATCTGGAGGCTGAGATCTGAAGATCATGGTTCAAAGACAGCCCAGGCAGGAAAGTCTGTGAGACTCTGATATACAGTTAGCCAGCAAAGTGGAGCAGTGCCAACATTGAGAGAAAAAGCTAAGGGACAACCCTCAGGCCCTGAGTTCAAGCCCCAGGATTGGCAAAAAAAAAAAAAAATCAAATAATGTTCTAGAACACTGAGTATTATTCTCATTGGAGCGCTCCAGGGGGCAGAGGCAAGTAAAAAAAAAATTTTAATGTCTTCTGGCATAGTGGCTCAAGCTCTCAAGCTTGTAATCTAGATCATCACTGGAGACCAGCCTGTACAAAAATAGAAGTTCATAAGACTCAATCTCAACCAATGACTGGGCCTACTGGTCGGTACCTGTCATTCCACAATATTAAAAGTACAATGGCAGGGTGTGGTGACACACCTGTCCACCCAACTATATGGGAAACCCAAGTAGAAGATTGCAGTCCACTCTGGCTTGGGCATAATGACTTAATGAGAGACCCCCTAAACAAAATAAAAAGAAGACCTGCCTTGAAAGTACAAGGTCTTGAGTTTAACCCCTAGTGCCCAAAACAAAACAAAGCAGCTTGGAGCCGGTGGCTCACAACCTGTAATCCTAGCTACTCAAGAGGCTGAGATCTGAGGCGTTCAAAGCCATCCCAGGCAGGAAAGTCTGTGAGATTCCTATCTCCAATTAACCATCAGAAAACTGGAAGTGGCACTGTGGCTTAAGTGGTAGAGCGCTCGCCTTGAGCTGAAGAGCTGAGGGACAGCGCCCAGGCCCAGAGTTCAAGCCCCAGGACTGACAAAACAAAACAAAAAACAGCTGGGAAATGGTGGCTCACATGTGTGATCCTAGCTACTCAGGAGGCTAAGATCTGAGGATCTTAGTTCAAAGGCAACCCAGCAGAAAAGTCTATGAGACTCTTATCTTCAATTAACCAGCTGGAACTGGAGGTATTGCTTAAGAGGTAGAATGCCAGCCTTGAGCAAAAAAGCTCAGGGAAAGTTCTCAGACCACAGTACTGCACATGTATGCATACGTGTGCATGTGTACACACACACACATAAATAACTCAGGTCCAAACAAGTCAGAGGAACAGCTTGGGGCACTGGCAGAACGTGTCTAACACTCCAGTCACTAGTGCCTTGGCGTTGTTTTGTCTTTCAGATGGTGGCTTCTTGGTGAAGGCCCGGGTGCTGACCTGTGTGGAAGGAATGAATCTGCCCTTGTTAGAAAAAGCCATCCAGGAGCAGAGACTGTATCTGCAAGAGAGGGACAACAGCCAATAAGAAAGCTCAGGTGGCCGGGCGCTGGTGACTCACGCCTGTAATCCTAGCTACTCAGGAGGCTGAGATCTGAGGATCGCGGTTCAAAGCCAGCCCGGGCAGGAGAGACCGTGAGACTTCTATCTCCAGTAAACCACCAGAAAACCGGAAGTGGCGCTGTAGCTCAAGTGGTAGAGCGCT